CCCCAAAACCCCAAAACCCCCAAAACCCCAAAACCCCATGATCAAACATGAGAGTGAGATGAAAGTAGTTATAAAATAAATTAAAACTACTTGCAGTAAATTTATCAAATTCTTTAATTCATAACTCATCATGCGTATTTTTTGGACTTTCAATGTTAACCTTAGGTAACTTTTCAGACTCTGAGTATTAAGGTTTGTGCTATTCCAAGAAATCTCTCATTTCATCAAAAGTGTTATGATTACTTTCAAACCTTAGGTTCATTTCTGGGTCATTAACTATAAAAAATTGAGGTACACCTTCTCGGCTTATAATATGCTTGTAGTGGCTGCTAGGATTATTAAAATGAAGATTCATTTTGGCAAACTAATACCCTTAGAAATCTTAGGATAGCTTATCAAAGTATACTCCCATTTCATCGCAAAGTGGACACATTTCATCTGTAAACATTATATATAATGGCTTTTCACGACCTTATTGCGTTTATTTCTTGAAATTATGGCCAGTTAGCTTCAAAATGCCCTTTTCATCATACTCTGCTTAATCATTTTTGTTTTCAGATCTGAAATACTGATTTAGTTGCTTACTCTTGTACATACTAATGAAGTTGTTTATAATATCTGCTGTTTGAAGAACCTATTAGTTTTCCTTTTCTCTCATAATGTTTCCTTCGAATCTAAAACCAGTTTCTGCATCTTCTAGTATGATTAAATGAAATCCTCTTTCTGATTCATCAAGTTGAAGATCGTGAGTAACACCTTTTATATCAAATCCATTTAGAATAACATAATCGAATTCTGGATGTAACTTAAGTCCTCCTTGATTCAAGAATCTAGCAAGGACTTTGTAGAATTATGCATTTTTATCCAAGTTATGAATTGTAGGATGAATTGAGACAATTCCAACAATAGGTCTCTCAAAAGTAGCATACAAATGAATGTTGTCTAAATCAAGGTAGTTAATTCTGGATTTCAATGCTCTAAGTAAGTTGTATTCTAGCTCAGTCATGTCATTGCCTGGCTCAACGTTTTCCAAAAGCTCAAAGTCGTCAATCATTGCATTACGAATGACAACCATCTTTTATGTGATAAGCTTTTGGTATTTTTCTGGCAAGATAGCTGAATCCTCAATATAGGTAAACTTAACATGCTAGTTTTGATTTTGCAAATGTACTAAACTCAGCATCATTTGATCCTTGAGTTAGGGATTGTCAGAGATTGCCATAACAAAGTTATGATCTTATTCTCTTCTGAGCTCATCAAATCTCTCGGGAGTCACTATTAGTTCGGGATACTGGGGCTTAAGTTATCGCAAGAAATCTACTAAAGCATGAACTTCAAGATCATACTGGTAGTGGAAGAACGAGTAAAGTTGTCCTTTAGAAACTCTATATAAGAAGTGTTAAAAATATAAATTACTATTAGATAATTAAGGTAGGAACTGAGGTAATCTCAAAATATGTTATTAGTGAGCTGTCATTGTACCGAACGTCATTTTATGCAAAAAATAGATCATGATGTCCTAGTTTATCTAGCCTGTGAGCCAGATATTCATAGTGTTAAATGAATTCTCTGCATTATTCATTCTCAACTATGATGAATTTAAGTAAAAAAAGGTAATATTTCTTACGATCACAAAACAGAATAGATAAGATAGCGTCTTTTTGATCCTCAAGCATTTTAAGAACTTATTTGTAGTTCTGGTCGTTCATTTAAATCAGGTGATTCGCATCATATACAATTGATACTTCATTAGAACTTGGTGAGAAAGATTCAGGATCTATTTCCTCAATCTCCTCCTGAGTGTACACTCCTAAATACGAAGATGAAAGCACCATCACTAGTGCTAATTAGAAGTATTATTTCATCATTTAAAATTTATTTATAAATAATCTTCTTAAATTACCCTTATTTACATTTCAAGGGGTTTTGGGGTTTTGGGGTTTGGGGGG